CCATCCATCCATCCATCCATCCATCCATCCATCCATCCATCCATCCATCCATCCATCCATCCATCCATCCATCCATCCCAATCGAACCCATGACCTTGGGAGGTGGTCAGTGCTCCAAACCTGGAGGCCTTCAAGAGAAAATTGGACCACCCTCTGTCAAATCTGCTTTGCCTTGGATTCCTGCCTTGAGCAGGTGGGGTTGGACTGGATGGCCTTCGAGGCCCTTGTTAGCTCATTCATTCTATGATCTGATGAGAAACCAGAGTACTTTTGTTTACGCTGTGTAGGGAACCTAATAGAGTTAGGGAACTTTTAATGGAGTAACTCTTGAGTTGGTGAGAAAAGAAATCCTTCACCCTTCCAGTTTTTCTCAGTGTCCAGCCTGGCCTTTAAAAAATAAATGCCTCTAGGACAACAAGGGCAAGCGAAATTCCCAAGCAACGCTGGAACGGGTTGGGTCCGGTCGGCTTAATAAGCACCTGGGAAAGGTTGCCTCCGACTCGTTTCTCTCACCCCAGGGGGGTCAACCCGACCTTCACATTCGGAGATAATGAATGCCCTGTCGCGGCTTCCTGGAAAGCCTTCGTGTTCCGTCCGCCAAGTTATTTGTCCTTGTTATTGATCAACAGAGACGAAGTGACTGTGGATCAAGCCGAGTCGCGGGCTTATGGGTGGCACCGTCAGGCCGTGCTTATTAATCATTTCGTGCAGCAATTTTAATCTGGCGCTAGATGAAAAGTGCTCTCTGGTCAGCCCCTATTAATGCCCTTTTTTTTTACAGCTCATGGACGAACTCTCTCCATACCACTTGCTGGGGGGGGGGGGGAGGCGAAGGGAGTCCTATGTATGGTCTTCCAGGGCTATCGCGGTGGACCTCTGTGGGCGGAGAACGTAGGACTAGATGTCCTTCTCTGATCCTATCAGCTTCTGTTTTTGTTCTGTGGTTTCTTCTTGACCGTTACTGGCGTGGCCATTCATTAGATCGCTCCGTGGTTTAAGCCTCTGGTTGTGGAGCCGGAGGTACGGAGTTCAGTTTCTTCTTGACCGTTACTGGCGTGACCATTCATTGGATCGCTCCGTGGTTTAAGCCTCTGGCTGTGGAGCCGGAGGTACGGAGTTCAATTTCCCCATAGGGGTCTCCTTGAGAGGGGCTGGACTTGATGATCCATAAGGGTCCCTTCCAGCTCTGCCGTTCTGCGAGTATTATGCCAGGAGGATAACAATGCTTGTGGTCCGAATCCAAATGCTTAGCATAATAAATCATAGTTTAAGGAGCGGAACGTGCAGAGGAGTTGAGTCACTCGATCCATACTGATTCCGTGCACCTACTTTGATCGGGGAGCACTGCAAGAACTTTTCGACCCATGTCTTGCAGCCAAAAACAGCCATAAAGATCTCATCAGCCTCCTCTGAAGCTGTGACAAGCCTGTGCCAAATAAAAACCTGGTCATCTTCAGCGGGTTGCAAGCTTTTTAAAAAATCAACGTAAGACTACACGCCGAGGCTTGAATGACTAACCCAAAAGATTGATTGATTGGTGTGGCCCCATTTGGCTCTGGGTTGAAGCCAAGCAAATTTACAGCTTAATTGGGATCCAGAACCCAAATCAATTTGGCCTACTACGATTTCTTTTCTTTTTTTCCGAAAAACAATGGATGAAAATGTCTACTGTGGAAGAAGACGAACAGAGCTGTTTTCTCCTGTTTTTTTAGAATCCATTATGCCTCCAGATTTCATTTACGTCAGTGGATGAACAAAAAGAGGCTGGGGTTGATTCGGTTGTTCGGGGCAAGCCTGGATATAAGGGAACCCTCTATATTACCTGGGGACATGGTGGCGCTGCGGGTTAAACCGCAGAAGCCTCTGTGCTGCAAGGTCAGAAGACCCGCCGTTGTAAGATCAAATCCACGCGACGGAATGAGCTCCCGTCACTTGTCCCAGCTCCTGCCAACCTACCCGTTCTAAAGCATGCAAAATGCGAGTCACTAAATAGGTACCACCATGGTGGAAAGGTAAACGGCATTCCGTGTCTAGTCACGCTGGCCACGTGACCACGGAAATGGTCTTCGGACAAAACGCTGGCTCTACGGCTTGGAAACAGGGATGAGCACCGCGCCCTAGAGTTGGACATGACTGGACTCAATGTCAAGGGGAACCTTTACCTATATACTACATACAAAGGGGTGGAACAAAGACCACGAGGGTCGGGCATTCCTTGGCTTGAAGGGGGTTTTCTGGACCGTGGACTGCCCACGTCTCCTATTGTTGGGTCAAATGGCTAGGGCTGATGGCCCCAGTTATCTAAAAACCAATGCACAGTAGTTCATATTTTGCGCCCCTCTGTCGTTCCTGGAGCCCCCCACGTGGCAAGCAAACCTGGTGGTGGTTTCTCCAGCTGTGGTGCACAGCTGCGCAGCCAGGTGTGAAAGGAGCGTGGCTCAGAAGAGGTGGGAAAGGAAAATATTCGCCAGCTGTGGTGCACAGCTGCACAGCCAGGTGTGGTAGAAGCGTGGCCAAGAAGTCCAGAATGGAGCCTGCTGAAAGGAGCATGGCTCAGAAGAGGTGGGAAAGGAAAATATTCAGAGACCATCCCCCCTCCAGTTTGGGGCTCCCTCCTTCTTTCATTCTTCCCCTTTGCCACCAGAGTAAATATTAATGATTTAAAATGTGATGGAAGGCATTCAGTTGAGAGGGAGGTGGGACTGGGGGAAGGGATGGAGGGAAGTCCCATTAAATGCTCAGATCTCTCTTCCCCCCCCCCTTCCATTTGAAATGTCAAACGGTTCTTTTTTGGGGCTTTATAAATAACTCATAATAACCCACAACAATCCATATAAAAAGCCTTTTAGTCACATTTCTCCCTTTTTCATTTAAGTGTTTTGAAATGCTTCAGAGAATTTGCGATATCCTTATCAACATGATAAAATATGAAACTCTGATTGCCTGCAGCATTTTACAGACATGAATTCCATCTTCACTGATGAGGTCTGATAAGGCACTGTTATATTATACAGTGCATAATCTCAAACCACCAGAGTAAGGATTAATTTATTTGGGGTGGGGTGGGGGAGAAAGAGGGGGGGAAGAGAGAAAGAGAGAGAGAGAGAAGAAATGCTAAGTGACAGTCTCTCCCCCAGCTGCCAAGCTCAGTAAAAATATTGTACATTTGTTGTTTATAAATTTGGATAAAGGGAGAATGATGTTTACTTCAGATGGAATATCTTTAGACTCATATCTGCAGCAGGTTTCTCCCTTCTCTTAAGCAGATTTCCATTCCTCTTGGGTTCTGGCCACGAGGAAGGATAATAATAATAATTAAAAAATGAAAATTTAAACATCCAGAAAGAATCAAGTGATAACAAGAGGTGCGTTAAACCATGCACCCGATGTACCTATGTGGTTTGTTTGCCCCCCCCATTTTATCAGTTTTCGACCCAAAGAAAACAACACAGCGACCAAACCCAACTCATATATCAACTTAAAAAGAAGAAACGAAGCCACCGTTATAGTCTCTCTCTCTCTCTCTGCCCCACCCTAGCCTCGGGACTAGCTTTCACTTTTATTTTTCGTTAGATGTCATACCGCCCCCCCCCTTTCTCTCCAGAAATAGATGGATTCGTCTCCAGTGGTGTACCCTTTCCCATTCTGGAACACGTCTCCCCCAAAATGATTTCCATATTTTCTTTAAAATCGTTAATGTTCAACGTTCCTTTTCTAATCTCGGCCCAATGTGTTTGCATCGGCCGTAGGGGCTTCAAAACCGAACCCTCTTTGGGGTTCTTCCCCCCCCCCTCAAAATAATAATAATAATAATAATAATACCAGGTTTGGTTTCTTGAGAAATATAAACATTTTAAACCGTCCATGTACATGGAAGCACAGCCCCACCAGGAGGCTGATGATTCATCCTGTGTTGGAGGGAGGTTTATATTTAAGTTTATATTTATATTTAGAAGACTCGTTTCTCTCCCCGCCCCCTTGTGATTTTGGGGGACAGGGAAGCCTCGAAGGGCTTGGGCATTGCCAAACGATAATCCTCTTTCACCATGGCTTGGGAAGATCAAGTGGGATCCCTTCCTTTATCTGCGGGCACTGCTCTTTTATGTGCATCTACTGCCATTTTGAGCAACCGGGGTGTGTGGGGTATCAATGATAAAGGCGAATGACGTTCCAAATGTCGCTGGATCCGGAGAATGGGAGACGTATCCACGTCTTGGCCTGTGTTTTTGATTATTCCCCCCCCCCAAGTTGGATGAGATGTCGGGGAGAGGAGAAACACTCTTGTTTGGGGGAAATAATCTCTAACAAAGGCTATCATGCGCCAGGAGTGCCTCAGAGTTAGGCCAGCTTGTTCGGGCAAGCCCTGGCGTCCGTCACTTCCACTCAGCGTTCCCCCCGACTCGCACGGCCCCGCGCCTCCCTCTTCTTGACTGACATCAAAATATGGAGCGACAAGCTGTCTGCCAGAGCCGAAATCGGATCAGACGTTGATTCCAGCGATTGCTTCGATGGACTGAGACATAAGGCGAATTTGTTTCCGAGCGCCGCTTTTGCTGATCCTGGCTTAATGGGGTTGGGGGGGGAGGCCGCAGCGGCCAGAGACAGGCAGCACAGCGTCCCCAAATCTCGGTGGGAGTAAGCGATGGGGGGGGCTGAGGAGGGAGGGATTCTGTTTACGGGTAATTGGAAAATAGATCGGAATCAGGTGCTGGATACGTCTCCTCCTGCTCTTGTGGCTTTTGCTCAAAGATTATTGCGGTCGGAAGGAAGCGCAGGGCGCGTCTCCATGGGCCACCTAAACAGCTCTGACATGTGCCCAGAAGGAAGACTTTTTAAAATGAAATTAAGATCCAACCATGTTAGAGTTTCTCTTCTCTCCCCTTCCCTTCCTTACACTGCCTGCCTTCCCCTTCGAGAGAGCCCCGTTGCCTCGAAAAGCCTTCGGCCACCAGTGGAGGCAAGGGTCTTGTCAAATCTGGCCCTGGGCAGAGGCCCCTTTGCTTGGACTCTAGAATGAAAGCAGGGGGGCTAGGGAGGGAGGAAAGAAAGAAGGAAGGATCTGTTGGTAGCAAGAAGGAAGGATCTGATCAAGGAAGAAAGGACCTAATGACGGACGGACGGAAGGAAGGAAGGAAGGAAGGATCGATCTGATGATGGAGGGAAAGAAGGAAGGATCTGATGCTGGAAGGAAAGAAAGAAGGATCTGATGAAGAAAGGATCTGATGGTGGATGGAGGGAGGGAAGGAAGGGTCTGATGATGAAAGGAAGGAAGGATCTGATAATGAAGTGAGGGAAGGAAGGAAGGATCTGATGATGGAGGGAAGGAAGGATCTGATGAAAGAAGGAAGTATCTGATGATGGACAGAAGGTAGGTAGGCAGGCAAGCAACTGCTTTTTATGGAGAGGAAGATGATGGGTCCAGGTTACCTCCAGGAGGCTTTACGTGACTGATGACCAGATCCTGGGGAACATGACTCAACTATGTTCTCTTATTTCCTACCGTGGGAGAAAGAATGCTATGCAGGTCCAGGAGGACCGTTCTCATGCCCTTACAGTCTTTTGCAAAGCATATTAGTTTATTGACCATGTAGAATTTTATTTTTCTCTAGTTCTGCTGCGGGTATGTTTTCTTCTTTTGATGGAGGGAAGGGATGTGTCTGGTTTAGTTGGAACTTGCCTTTATCTTGACAAAATGGGATGAGCGTGACAAGACTTTACAAGCAGGCCGTTTTAGTTGGGCTAAACGTGGACATGACATAAACAAATATTTAAAATTGTAGTGGAAAAACTGTATGGTCCCAGAATTCCCCCAGAAGAAGGGGTGATGGTAAACCACTTGTCTGTATTCAGTACCGCGAAAATCCTGGAAAGGGTTGCTATAAGTCAGAATTACGTATTCTTAGGGTTGCCAGAAGTTGGAGGGGACGTGACGGCTTGGATCCAGGCTCTTTGAAGGATTGTAACACCCCTTATGAGTCTTCTCGGCCTCTAAGATCTTCTGAGGAGGTCCATCTCTCGGTTCCACCACCTTCCCAAGCTTGGTGAGGACACGAGACAGGGCCTTCTCAGTGGTGGCTCCCAGGCTTTCGAATGAGCTGCCCCCGAGAAGCCAGGTTGTCCCCCCTCCCTCTTGTCTTTCCATCATCAGGCAAAGGCCTTCCTCTTCAGGCAGGCCTTCAAGCACTAAGTTATCTGCTGTTCTTGAACTCACAGGTTTTAAAAAGGTTTTTCAATCATTTTTATACTTGATTTTTTTAAAATCTTGGTGATTGTTTAATTGTTTTTTTAAAGTGATGTTTATATAATGTATTTAAATTTCTTATCCTAGCTGTTGTGAGCCGCCTTGGGTCCCTAGGGGGAGAAAGGTGGCCAATGAATCAACGAAATCTCCCATTTTCTTATCTCTCTCTCTCTCTCTATCTCTTTCTTCCTTCAGTCAAACGGAGGCTGGCAAGATGCAACTACTCCATCTTCGGTGACCTCCCCCACAGAAGGCCCGGGAAGCGTGCACTCGGATACCTCTAACTAACCTCCTCAACAACCTTTTTGTTGTTGTTGTTCACCTGAACCTGAGAAGTTTTCATGTCAGGTGTTCAGAATCCCAGATGGAAAACAAAACCAGAAAGGATTTCTGTGTGTCTCTCCCTCTGTCACTCGATCCTTCCTTCCTTCCTTCCTTCCTTCCTTCCTTCCAAAAGTACAACAAGAGGCAAAGGCAAGAGAGCCTATGATGACAACATGTTCCTTCCTTCCTTCCGTTTATCTATCATCAGCTCCTTCCTTCCTCCTTCCCTCTCTCTCTCTCTCTCTGTCTTTCTCTTTTTTTGGTAACCAGCCACTGATGGCTTTACTGTAAACCCTTGTCGTACCCAAGAGCTCGATAAATCTGTTTTAGGTATGTGTGTGAGTGTATGGGTATGGATTTTTTATATTAAATTTAAAAGGGGTATCTTAATCATTCTTATACATCCTTAAATGTCACCAAGATGCACACATGCACACAAAGTTAAGGAGGAAAAACAATGACAGCAGCAACAACCAAGCACTTTATCCAGCTAGGCCAAGATTTAGCATCGTTTGTTACCCCTGTGCATAGTTTAGGAAGAAATAAGTTATTATCCACCAGATTTGCAAAGAGGGCCGGCCAGTTTCTGGCTTCTTGGCCTTAAGGGTAAATAGGGGCTCGTTTTTTAAAAAAAATAACCTCGAGGAACAAAATGAGGCCAGAGAGCTATGCTCTCCCAAAAAATGGGCCTTCTGTTCAAGTTTGAAGGGGATTTCAGGCACCGATTCTGTCTTTCATTCTTCTTTTCATTTCTCTAAGTGAGTGGATTGAGGTTTTGCTCAGATCATCTTACATAGATGACGATCACATTTGATTTAAAGGATGCCATGATTTGTTATGGGTTTCTACCAATTAAGCAAAAATGCATGGGACCCTGAGATGGATTGTTTCCTTCCTTCCTTCCCTTCCCTTCCATCTTTTTAACCATTGTTAATCTAACAATGTGCAAAGCCTCTCTCCCTCTGCTGGTTGTCGTCAGGCACAGATGATCCATCCGAGGCGGAGACGTTTGCAGTTCCACCTTGGCCAGAAGCCACCTCCCATTGGGTTTTTACAGTACCAGCCAGGTGCCGAGCATACCCACGCCAGGGTTGGGCTGCCCGTTTTTGGCAGCAGTAAGAAGGCCCCGTTGGCACCGTTCTCTGGACTGTTGTACATAGTGTAGCAAAAGAGTATTTATACATCTCACCAATCAAAACACAGCTTTATTACCTCATGCGAACTCATACGAACCAATAGAGAAACATGTTCTTTAGCTTAGAGTGCTCACTACTACCTCTAAAACCAGCCCTTCCCAACACGGGGCTGTCCAGACATTGTGGATTACAAGCCCCAGCGCTGGAGGCTGGGGACTTTCGTTTTACAGGGGCAAGGAACACGCTGTGGGTTTTCATCCGAACTTCAGAATTGCTATCCAAGAGGCAGAACCTCTATTAGGCTTTGGGTTTTATCATCTTGGATAGCTTTTCTGGAGTTTGGATGTCAACTGGGAGCAGATTGACCTAAACTGAAGTCACCACAGAGCCTCGTCATCCCCAGACAGCACAGCCCACTGACTAGTAATGATGGGATGTGTAGTCTTAACAGATCTGGAGTGTGCCAGGTTGGGGAAGGCTGCTCTTAACAATATTCACGCTGTAGCTTGTCTTTTTCTCTCTCTCTCTCTCTTAATTTCTTTTCCCCTTCTTTATTTTTAGCATCTTTGTAATTAACACTTTGTTTTCCCTTCATCAAATGTAATGTACATTGTAATCTTTTAAATAATAACGATGAATAATAAGAATAATAAAAAAAACATTTTTAAAAATCCAGGTTGCGTTTGCAACTTTTGAGAAAAAAAATCTTTAAAAAAAAGAGGCTTTGCAGTGGAAAGATTTGAGTCTTTTGAGTTCAACGCGAAACAGTGAAACTGTTTGTAAATATAAAGAAACATTTTGAATGTTCTTCATCTTGTTACTCTACTAATTCACGCAGAATAAAAAGGAAAGAAAATTAAAACCAATAATGGATTGTAAAGGACACAGGTCTCAGTATTCAGTACTGTATATTTCACCCTGTATAAT